GGTGCTGTTTACATGTGCATAGCCATGTGTCTAGGTACTGTTTACATGTGCATAACCAACTGTCTAGGTACTGTTTACATGTGCATAACCAGCTGTCTAGGTGCTGTTTACATGTGCATAGCCATGTGTCTAGGTACTGTTTACATGTGCATAGCCATGTGTCTAGGTACTGTTTACATGTACATAGCCATGTGTCTATACTTGTGCATATAGCTTGTAATTGACTTGGTGCCACACAAATGATTTTAGCGGAGTATTATATTAACAAATTTTTAAAAACATTACAAACATTAACAAACTGATAAAATTCATTAAAACTATTGGTAGAACAATACTTACATATTAAGGTGATAATAAAAGTAGTTTTCCCTAATGTTGCTGCGGTCTACCTTATGTATATTGCAATCACATACATGATTATCCTGTTTTGGTGCAATTTCAACGTTGACAATTCGGGGTAATTTGCTGACATCATTTGAATTTGTTGTTCCTATGTTTACACTGAAATAAATATCATATGAAATTGAGGTTATTACGAGAATACCTCAAAGTATGCACAAAGGCAGTACAGTGGGAGTATCGACCGGTGTGCAATGAAGGTTGATGCATGGCGTACAGTTTGAGTGCATACTTTGAGGTATTCTCGTAATAACCTTATTTGTATACATCTTTTCCTTCCGAGGATACATCATGGGAATGCCAAAATCCAAAATGTTTACAACAGAATCAACAAACTTCTTTGTGTTGAATCCGGTCAAACTCTGGTGGCAGCCAAGTTTGTTTTTATTAATAGAGGACACTTACACACCTAATCATTCCATAATTGGAATTCACATTCTCTGATATGGTAGAATGAAAATATCTTGGAACATACCGGTACCGGCACACGGTAACTTATGGTGTTGACAGATGTATAATAATATATTATATTGCCCATCCCAAAACTTATTGAGGTACACTATTCGTTTGCAATATTAGGCAGGGAATAACTATAGTTATAGATGAGGTTTAATGGATTATAAATGGTCGTACCTGATACCAGATGCGGCGTTACTCTCAGTGAGTAAATCGATAGCTTCCTGCATTGTCTGTGAAGATAATAATTTCCTTGCCACAAAGTGTACAGCTATTAGAGACAAATATAATGAACATATCATCATCTTGAGTATGATTAGTATTCAGAGAACAATAGAATATTGTTTTCATACACAAAAAACTCATTACTTCATCCTTGCTAACTACTGTAATTTTCACTGAATCAGCCCTTCAGTGGCAATAGTGAAAATTTTACAGTGCGTAATGATTGTGCTTAAATTGGTTAATTATTATGCAAATTACCTAATTAATATGTACAGATTATATGACGGCAATAGCTTATTTGCAATATTTCTAAAAAAAAAAATTAAGATCTCAAGTTAACAAGTTTGTAATGTTCACAATATCACTGAAAACACGTCTATACAGTTTGACGTGACGTGTCCTGAATCTCATAACTATGCTAGTTGCAGGGTCTTATTTTTTGGTTTACAAATTGCCCTGCATTAATTTCTTTTATACTAATGTTTTTGTCTATGTATTAAGTCATCATCCCTCCCAAAGGACAAGCAGTAACTCATGTATATTTTGACCAGTTCACTCCATATACACACAAGCGATATATTGTTGAAAATTTTGAAATTTAGCAGGGAATAAGCTGCTAATGGGTCTTCATGAGCTCAAAAGAAAAACAAAATAAAAGCCAACATGATATAATTACTGTAGTACTGCAACACAATTGAACAATCAAAGCACATGATGAAAGAGCGCCCCCAGTAGGCAACTAATTCATTTTGAATCAAAATAATACGCATACATAAGTGGGATTTTCGTACCTGTCTTGTGGTAGAAATGGTTGATGTGTTGGAGGTGCGTGTTTTGATGTGTGTACATATGTAAATTATTACCATGCCTTTATAAAGTACATAACAAAGCACCTCAAAAGAAGTTACGTCAAAAGAATTGCATGACTAAAGAAAACTTTAATGACTTTATATAATGTATAATAATTATATAATGTTCAAAGGTCTATGGTA